ATAAAAATTTTTATAACTAACTTTTTATTATTTTTATATCTACACTACTATGTTTATTTTTTAAAATTAACAAATTAGTTATTATATTTAAATATTTATATTATTTTATATTTTAATATAATTAATAAATTTTATTATGTGTAAGTAATTTAAATAAGAAAAATAATAAGTTGTGGATATCCGAAATGAGTTTTGAAAAAGTCTACTCGATGCGAGGGAGGTGGAAATTAAATATAATGTGAGGCGATGTAGGTAGAGAAATATAATATGAGTTGAGTGATGAATGTAACACTCTCCAACCCATTGTCATCTCTAGTCCCAACAAAACCAATTTATGAAAATTAAATTTTATATAATAACCATCAATTTAATATAAATCTAATAGTTAAAAAAACGACTAAATTTAATTTTATAAACATTTTAAACTTTACTACATTTTTAAGGTGAGTCTAAAAGAGACATACTTTTGGAAAAATAATACTCAACTACTTCAACTATATTGTTCACAAACAAGCATGCTAAGGATTATATATATAATGAACTATTGTTCATCACAAACACTAAAAATCCAACCCATTTAATTTACAATAATCTACAACGTAACTACATATATATAAATTAAAAGACATTGGGCGAACGTAACCGAGACCCACAGCTAGCTAGCGTTAATCAAGTAATCAATTAACATGCAACGTGAAGACGCTGTCCAAGGTCGGCAAGGTACAACGTAAGACACATAAGCGTAATAACGTTAAGGAAAGACGAATACGAGTTCAACTTCTTCAGCTTCCTGCTCAACCTCATCATCTCCGACGACTTCCCCGCCGTTGCTCTTTCTCGCTGCTTTTTCTCTGCTATTTCACTGGCTGTCGCCGCCGTGCCGCCGTCAACGACTGCTCCGGCGGCGGGACGATCCGAGCCAGCATCCTTCGTCACTCCATCGCCGCCGTGCTCCGTTTGGGTGCTCCCTTTTCCTCTCCCTTCTTCCTTCTCCATCTTCATCCTCTCAAACATCACCTGCATTGCATTATATATATATATATATATATATATATATATATATATATATATATATAACAATAACAATTTCCATTTTTAATCTTTTCATTTTTGTTACATTTTCACTAATTATTATATTCAACTATCATTCTTTTCACTACTAATCTTCTAACTTTGATATTTTTTTTATTTTTTTATTTTGGTTGCAACCCGCTATTTAAAGATGTGGGAATTACTGAAAATTTTGGAATTTCTGACCACCTGAAAGTGATCTTAAATCAAGTCGAAAGTAAAAAGTGATCTGAAATAGCAACAAAGATTTTTTCGGATACCAAAAGCGATCGGAACAAGGCTTTTGACTTGATTTAAGATCACTTTCAGATGGTCAAAAATTTTATAATTTTCAGCAAAGGAGTGGGGCTAAATAAAACCCGCCTTGCAGTCAAAAGATCAAACCATAAAAAGATAAATCAACTTAAATTTAAAATTTAACTGGTAGGTTCCGTGTATCAGACTCTCAATTAAATTAGAAACTTAAATAATTGGTACCAATTGAATGTGTTTCATTTAAACTAAAAAACTTAATTAATTGGTAACAGTTGAATGTGTTTCGTTTAAACTAAAAGTTGTGTGTAACTTGCACCATTTGGCGTGTATGGTAGGAAGTGGAGTCAGCATGCAGTGATGCAGGTACTAGAACAATTAAAGAACATTAAATATAATTAAAAAGAATATAAGGTTAGAGAAAACGTGATATTGTCGGGCCACCAAATGTTCATATTTTGGAATAATCATTTTGAATTGGATTAATGGATATATGTTGATTATGCAGGGAAGAATCTAGAGAAATTTTTTTAGTAGCGGTGAACTTCAAATGAATTTAAGAATGTTCATGACAAAATATTAAACATACATCGATAATATAGTTCAAATATAAAATATATTATAAATTAAAATTCAATTGTTTATAATAAATTACGGGATAATCAAGGACAGAACTAGAAATATATTTGAGTGAGGTGAATTTTAAAGCACTTTAAAATGTTAATAAAACATATTTATGACAAAATATGAAATATAATATTTAATTAGATAAAATAATTTGAATAGAAAAGACACTATAAACCACATATCATCTCTATTGATTATTAGATTTATAAATATTTTTTTCTTTTAGTTAGATCGACTTTAAATTTTTCTAAACTAATTTGAATATGATGAACTTGTAGATTACATTGATTACATGATTCATAAAAAGTAGACTTAAAAAAAAAATCATTTGTCATGACTAAATTACAAAATGAAAAAGCTAAAATTAAGTAAAATGTTGTTGGTGTGCATGCCCTGATCCAGGCCAAACCTATCATACAAAATTTTAAAAGACAATAACTAAGCTACTTAAACATTTAATGATTTATATAAACATTTAATGATTTATATGTATATTTTATTTATATGTATAAGAAAGTCAGCCATTGAACTTCACAAGCAGCAACAGCCATGGCTCTGTACTCTGCTTCTGAGGATGATCTGGAAATTGTGCCTTGTTTCTTTGACTTCCAAGAGATTAAAGCATCTCCTAAGAACATGCAGAAGCCAGTTACAGATCGTCGAGTGTCAGGGCAAGCAGCCCAATCTGAATCAGCAAATCCTCTCAGTTTAAGAGTGGATATGGCTGGAAAGAACAAGCCTTGGCCTGGACAGCTCTTGACATACCTCAATACTCTATGAACTGCTTGCAGATGAACAGTGGTAGGTTTGTCTAGGAACTGAGATAATTGTTGGACAGCAAAGCATATGTTTGGCCTTGTAATGGTCAAATACAGTAACTTTCCAACTAGTTTTCTGTACTGACTATTATCCTCCAATGGTGTGCCAATATCTAGGCTCAGTTTTGTTGACTGTATCATGGGAGTTTTCATGGGCTTGCTGGTCAAGAAACCTGTTTCTGATAGCAAGTCAAGAGCATATTTTCTCTGGTTGATAGCAATCCCTTTGTGTGTCCTGGCCACTTCAAGACCTAGGAAGAACTTTAAGTTTCCTAAGTCTTTGATCTGAAATGTAGAGTGTAGATGATTCTTGATCTGCTGGATTTGGTCCCCATCACTGCTTGCTAGTATAACATCATCCACATACACAAGTAATGCCACAAATTTAGTACCAGTGCCCCTTGTGAACAGAGAATTATCACACACAACTTGTTTAAATCCTAAAGTAGTCAACTCATTGGTAAGCTTAGAGTTCCACTGCCTGCTAGCTTGTTTTAGCCCATATAGGGATTTGGTTAACCTGCAAACCTGCCCTGGGTATTGTGCAGTAAAGCCTGGAGGAAGATGCATATATACCTCTTCATGAAGCTCACCATGGAGGAAAGCATTATTAACATCTAGTTGATGTAATTCCCATCCTTTTGCAGCTACAACAGCAAGAAGGATTCTTATAGAAGTAATTTTTGCAACTGGACTGAAAGTATCAACATAGTCCAATCCACAAGTTTGAGTGTAGCCCTTTGCCACTAATCTAGCTTTACATCTCTCCACTGTCCCATCCGATTTATGCTTGATTTTGTATACCCACTTACATCCTATGGCTTGCTTGGTGGGAGGAAGATTTGTAAGTTCCCAAGTTTTGTTGGCCTGGAGTGCATCTATTTCTGCTTGCATAGCCAACTTCCAACAATCATGCTGAATAGCCTCATTGTAGGATTTAGGCTCAACTGTATTCAGAACATTCAGAGAGAAAGCTTTAAATTTTGGGGAAAGCTTGTCATAGGACAACACAGTAGATAGGATATGAGGAGATGTCCTTGTTCTGGGCAATTGGCAGTCATAATCTTGAAGGTAGTGTGGTCTAGACACCTGCCTGGTAGACCTCCTGACTTGCTGTGGTTGTATTTCAGCTTGGCTCTCATCTATAGCAAGATGATTGTGATCTGTTATAAGGGCATCAGACCTGTGATCTGCTATTAAGTCATCAGGTTGAGGATATGCATTTTGGTTGCTTGGGATGTGTTTTGGTAGAGGATCATCTGTGGGATGTGGGGCAATTGGCAAGATGGGAGCTGATCTGGTCATCTGAGTGTCTGAACTATGCTGTGAGCTATGGGGGAAAACCTTTTCATAGAATATCACATCCCTAGATACAAATACTTCCCTTGTTTGCAGATCATATAGCTTATATCCTTTCACCCCATTAGGATATCCCAAGAACATGCATTTTCTGGCTCTTGGGGCAAATTTGGGTTTATATCCATTGAGATTAACAGCATAGGCTAAGCAACCAAAGGTCCTAAGATGGCTGAACATAGGAGGTTTTCCAAACAGAATCTGATGTGGTATCCTTCCTTCCAAAGCATCTGAGGGCAATCTATTGATGATGTAGACTGCTTGTAGGATACAATCACCCCAAAAGCATTCAGTTAGCCCTGCTTGAAATCTTAAGGCCCTTGCAACACATAGAATATGCCCATGTTTCCTTTCTACCACACTGTTTTGCTGTGGGGTGTAGGCACATGAAGTTTGATGGATGATTCCCTTTTCTTGGTAAAACTTGGTCATTCTGAATTCCTGCCCATTGTCTGTTCTGATACACTTAATGTCCTTTCCAAATTGTGTGGAGATTAGAGCACAAAACCCTTGAATGAGATCCCTGACTTCATACTTGCCCCTCATCAGAAATACCCAAGTTAGCCTACTGTAGTCATCTACAATAGTCAAAAAGTATTGATGGCCATATATGGTTTTCACACTATATGGTCCCCAAATGTCAGCATGAACAAGATCAAAACATGCAATAGTAGCAGTAGTACTCACTGGAAATGGTAATCTTTTTTGCTTTGCCAAATGGCATATATCACAAGGGATCTCTTTATTTGATTTAACATCAGAATTCAACAATTGCAGCATTCTCATTTTAGAGTAAGAAGTGTGCCCTAATCTCATGTGCCACAAACTACTACTAGTATTACAAACATTGACTCTTATATTCTGTGACCCTTCTATTTAGGCAAAAAAGGCAGGCTGCATCAAGTGGTACAAGCCCCTTTCCAATTTAGCCATTCCAATCATCTTCCCAACTTGATCCTGTATGATGCATGTATCAGAATATAGCAACAACTGACATTTGGAATTTCTGATCAGCTCACTGACTGATACCAAATTATAATGGAATTCAGGCACACAAAATACATTCTGCAAGATGAGTTTATCTGACACAAGGATTGTTCCTATGTGTGTGATGGCAGTTTTACTGCCATTAGGGAGCTCAACATACATCCCTTGGGCTTTCTTAACTTCTGTCATTATGTGGTGGCTGCAAACAATATGGTGGGTAGCCCCACTGTCCAAGATCCAAGGTATTTTACTATGATTAAGAGATGACAGAAGTGTACCTTCAAGTTGGGCATTGGGAACAAAGTTTGCAGAGATTATGTTGGCCTGTGGTTGAGATGTAATTCCCATATCCAATGGTGAGTTTTGGATGGTATTCTCTTTCTGCAGTAGCTGTTTGAGCATCATGTACTCGCTTTGAGACAGAGAGATGGTGTCTTCTGGTTGGCTGATCAGTTGAACCTGATTGGTTGCCCCTGCATTCTTACTTCTTGGCCTCCAACCAGGAGGGTACCCATGTTTTTTGTAACACTTTTCAGCTGTGTGTCCAGTAAATCCACAATGAGTGCAAACAGGTTTCTTGTTCCCATTAGAGTAGAACTTTTTAGAGCCTGAGTTACCACTTGCTGCCTGACTCAAGAACACACTCCCTGCATTTTGATTGTCTGTTGGCTGGGCTAAAGAGCCTAAAATCCCATTGTTGAGCCTCCTCTCCTGCTGTTGAATTATCAAGAAGGCTTCATCAACAGAAGGTAGGGGTTTCATCATCATAATTTGTGATTGAACAGACACATAACTGTCATTGAGTCCTCTTAGAAAAATGGATAGATTGTCACTATCAAGGTAGAGCTGCAATTTCTCCAATAAACCACAATTGCATCTCCGTGCACAACTGCAGGTGGGCAATGGTCGTATGACCTGTAACTCATCCCATAGAACCTTCAATTTTGCAAAGTATGCCCCTACGCTGAGGTCTCCCTGTCGAATTTGATGAATCTCGGCGTGCAGGTCTGAGATTCGAAATATGTCAGTCTCACTAAACCGAGACTTCAATGTCTTCCAAATTCTTTCTGCAGTTCCTACCCAGAGGACGGTTTGTGCAATTTCGGAAGAGAGGGAGCGCATCAGCCAGGTTGATACCATGTTATTGCATCGTTTCCAGTAGGGAAACTTGACATCATTGGTGTCCGGTACTGCTATGGTTCCATCAACGAACCCTAGCTTGTTCTTCGAGAGCAAAGCCATTTCCATCGCCCTAGCCCAGGGATGGTAATTCCGTCCATCAAGAACTGCAGAGACTAGAATCAAAGATGGATTCTCATTCGGATGCAGGAAGAAAGGACTTGCTAGGTCATTTGGATCAAAGGGGTTATTGATCCCGGGAACTGTCGCAGTGGCGGCTGCCGTCGCCGGAGCCGGATGAACCTCCTGAGGTCTGTTTGAGCTTGTGTTTCCAGTCCAAGCCATAAGCCTCAGGGCTCTGATACCATAACACGAAGAGAAGAAGGAAAGGAATGAAAAAGAACTGTTACATTGATTGATCTGAACTACTGTTTCAACAACATTACACCAGCCCTTCCTATCTTGTTTATATAGTCTTGCTAATGGGAGAGAACTAACTAACAGATTTACAAAACTGCTTCTCAACTAACTAAAACAGATTCTTTAATCAGTTTTTGCCCCTAATAGTTTGTGTATTATAATAGGGTGGGGAAGGCCGAGGGTGGATAACTGCCCCCATTGGTAGGGACAGAGCTAGAAATTTTGTTGGAGGGGGGCGAAACAGTACAAACAGATTCAGAAATTTTTTTCAGTAAAGGTGAAATATTAAAACAAAAGAGATAATTTAAAAATAAATAAATAAATAACTTAAGAAATATAGTTGTAAATATTGTTGGATATGGACGAAAAATAAAACACATCGAAACTTTATAAAAATATTCGTAACAAAATGTGAAACATAATTAATGAATTGTAAAACTATTTTGATACTAAGATTTGAACCTTTGACCTCACAATTACCAAATATGTACTCTACCACCTAATCTAAACCACTCTTGTTAATAATTTATAGTTTTTTTTTTATATTAATACTAAAACATGTACTATATATACATATGTTGATTTTAGGATTTTGGGCCTAAGGAGGTCTAACACAACCTTGGTCGGTGGATTCACCTTTCAATAGAAGCTTTGAGAAAAATGTAATAGTGAAAATGGTGTCTCTTTCTTATCTGGGCATGGACTCGCCACTTTACATTCACGGAGGGCCCTTTATATAGTAGGCCCTCCTTTACTGAGTTAAAGCTCATTAAAAGACTACTTTAAGACTAATTATGTTTTGGGGCCGTTGGGTGGCGTTACTAGGCCGGCCAACGGCTCTCTCAGGCTCTCAACGGCTCGGTGGGTCGAGTCTCTTAACTGCGGCTATAAATGCCGAGCAACGGATCCCTGCTGAGTCGCTACCTGGGCCTGGGCCGACTACTGGACTCGGCCCTGGCCCCTGTTGGGGCCTTGTAAACAACCTTTTACCCACTGGGCCGTACTTCTTCCACTATCCACAGACTCTATTTCTTAGACCTTGTTCTTCTTGGGCTGGGGTCCGCACCCCATCAACATACATACAAAGATTATATATGAGGTAAGGGTGGGGTGAGGGGGACAGCTGCCCCTACCCCCTTTGGCTTCGTCCCTGCCCATTGGTCCTTCTGGATCCGTCCCGGAAGTCGTGGATCTTGGCTCAAAGACAATTAGACTAGGAGCTTAAAGTCATAGGAGAAGAAAGTTGGGTGTATATTGGAGGCTAAAAGATTACATGGTTGAGGAAAAAAAAAATACTCAAAACCTAGACTTACAAGATTAGTTATGTGGGCAATAACCAACTAGTCTATATTTATTCTTATGTAAATTGCAATGGTTATTAGTAAAGGGAGTTGCGCAGTGACATGTTCCGCAAGTCTGGATGGCCAAGGAGGTTGACAAGATTGATCCAATCTTAACAACTAACTTGTACATATAAATCATTAAATATTTAAATGTATCAAATAATTTAAACCAACATTTAGTATTTTGGTTAATGAGCCCAATCAATCATTTACCACACTCTCCAAATCAACTTATTACATTTACAGCACGTTTGGTTCACGGAATGAATTTGGAGAGAATAGGAATGCTATTCCACATGGAATGGAATAGGTAAGGAATAGAATATGAATTGTATTCTGTTGTTTGGTTGGCTGAAGGAATAGACGTTAGTAATTATATTCCAGTGTTTGGTTCGTTAAAGGAATAGAAATGGAATAGGTTTTAAAGACATAAATACCGTTATACATAATAATAATAATAATAATAATAATAATAATAATAATAATAATAATAATAGTAATAAAAAATATGATTATGATATACTGAATGTTATATATATATATATATATATATATATATATATATATATAGATTGATGGGTACAAATTATAATTAATTAAATATATACATTTATATAATACACTATATTTATTAAATAAATATAAATATTATATAATATGTAAAGGGTATTTTTGGTATTTGTGATATAAAAGCTATTCCCAAGGGCATGAGAATAGCTAATACCAAGGCCCCCTAGGAATGGCTATTCCTTTTGCTCCTAGGCATGCTATTCCCATGACGAAATGATCCAACCAAACAATAGAATAGGTATATTCCAAGGAATGTTATTCCATTTCTGACCTATTCCATGAACCAAACATGCCGTTAGTATTTTGGTTAATGAGCCCAATCAATCATTTACCACTCTCTCCAAATCAACTTATTCATGTTTTGAAACAACTAAATATGATCAAATCAGCTAATTTTTTATGATCAAAAAATTAAATAACCAAACACTCCTAAGTGTTCAATGTAGTAGTAGTGGACTACTAGTAGTAGTAACAAATCTATAAATAAATAAATAAAAATCAATTAAAGAAAAAAAAATGTAACCCATAAACAACAATATAATAAAGAGAGTTACATCACTAGATTAATTTGCTAAGGATTATAATATATAACTATTGTTCATCACAAACACTACAAATCCAACACATTTAATTTACAATAATAATCTACAACTACATATAAAAGACATTGGGCGAACCGAGACCCGCATCTAGCGTTAATCAACTAACATGCAACGTGAAGACGCTGGGCAAGGTGGGCAAGGTACAACGTAAGACACATAAGCGTAACAACGTTAAGGAAAGACGAATACGAATTCAGCTTCTTCAGCTTCCTGCTCAACCTCATCATCTCTGACTTCTCCGCTCTTTCTCGCTGCTTTTTCTCTGCTATTTCAGTGGCAGCTGTCGCCGCCGTGCCGCCATCGACGACCGCTCCCGTGCTGCCATCGACGACCGCTCCGGCGGCAGAACGATCCTTCGTCACTCCATCGCCGTGTTCCGTTTCGGTAGTACTCCCTTTTCCTCTCCCTTCTTCCTTCTCAATCTTCATCCTCTCAAACATCACCTGCATTATATTGCATTTTATATATATATATATAACAATAACAATTTCCATTTTTAATCTTTTCATTTTTGTTACATTTTCACTAATTATTTTATTCTAACTATCATTTTTTTCACTACATACTAATCTTTTAACTTTGATTTTTTTTTACCCACTATTTGAACAATCATTATTGTGTGGACCATATTTTGTATACCGTAAAATAATGTACAAAAATAATATACATAATGTAAAATAATATACATTATATTCAGAAGATGTATATTATTTTTGTTCTGAGTGTACATTATATTGTATAATGTACATTCACTACAAAAATAATGTACATTTAGTATATTAAAAATGTACTTTTTGTTATGGTCCACATAACATTGTATAGACTATGGTCCACACAATAATTTGCCCTATTTTGAAGAATAAACCCCACCTTGCGATTAAAAAAGCAAACCATAAAAAGATAAATTAGTTTAAATTCAAAATTTATCAGACTACCAATTAAACTAAAAACTTAAGGTACCAGTTGAATGTATAAAAACTTTGTGTACCTTGGTTGCACGAGGCTCGAGATAGAGCAAATTGACTAAAACCATGAGGAGTGAAGAAAGAAGATTAAACCCCAAGAAATGTTGTGTAGTTTTGGAGTGGAGCCTTTGGGTTTGGTTTTGGCTCAAAATATGGCCTAAAAACGCAGTTCCGATGCTATAAGCCATGGCCTTGAAGTAAACTGGGTAGATTTTGCTCTGAGCCACCGCGAATTGTTGCCGTGGCAGCGCCTTGGCCAAAACATAGCTAGAAATGAACGTCACCCAGACAGACATTCCGAACGCGACGGCTAATCCTATCAGATTCGCCATCCCAAATGCTCGGCCGGCCGACCGGAGAATGTTATGTTTCACGGCATCCTTGGCTTCTCCGACCTTTTCCTCGGCCTTCTTTGCCCTGTCGGAGAGTTCTTCCTTCATGTGCTCCATCTTTCTTGACGCGTCTGTTCTCATGCCCTTCGCTTTTTCCGCCGCTTCTTTTGCGGCTTCCTTCGCCGAGGAAGCCGTCCCCGCCGCGCTCGCTCTTAGGTTTTCTAGCCGCTCGGTTATGGCGTCCCGAGCTCCTTCCTCCATCTCGTACACTTTCTTCGCCGCCTTGTTGCCCTTATCAGCCACCGTATCTCTCACCTGTAGGAAAAAATGTGCACCAGATAAACTCCCCTTGTGACCCTTAACATAATGTTTCAAAATTTATATACTGAATGTTTACCATTTACATACTAAAAATTATGAACATTTAGTATATAATAAATTGTACATCTTTTTTACCTGGATCTACCTTGCAAGGTGAATTCAGATCCACAGAATAATTTGCCATCCACAACTTACTGGACTCAAATCAATAAGACTGGATCAAACTTGTGACTTTATAGTTACGAGTTTGTAACTTTAATGAGTTAATACCATCTGAGGTCTCCGAGTATAGTAGTTTTACCACGTTTAGTCCTAAATTTTCAAATTGACTATATGTGATCCTTCAACTTTCAGATTTAACCATTTGTGGTCCAAGTTAATCACTCATGGTCCTTCAACTATTAAATTTTAACCAAACATGATCCTTTCAAGAGGACCATGAAAGGTTAAATTTCAAAACTTGAAGGACCATGATGGTTAACTTGGACCACGAATGATTAAATTTAAAAATCGAAGAACCACATATAGTCAATTTGAAAGTTTAAGACTAAACGTGTCAAAACCACTATAGTTGGAGGACCTCAGATAGTATTAACTCTATCTTTAACCATCTTGAAAAAGATTAACCACTAAATATCATTTTAAACTAATTTTTGAATATTACCTTCCCTAGCCCCTCGCTCACGGCGCCTCTCGCTTCTTCCTCCGCCTCATACGCCATCTCCGCCGCCTTACTGCCTTTATCCACCACCGTATCTCTCACCTTTCCCAGCCCCTCGCTGACGGCGCCTCTCGCCCCTTCCGCCATTTCCGGCGCGGTGTCTTTCGTCCGGTCAAACACACCGGCGATCTTGCGCCGGCATCTCCCAAAAGCATCGCACACGAGTTCTCCGGCAGTCGTCCGGCGATGATAACTTCCGTCGCCGTCGTTTTCTCCTCCCTTCTCCGCCGCAACATCCTCGGAAGAAGATTCATGCGGAGAAATCAAAACCTTGGTGTTCCCATGCTCTTTCTCGTACTCCACCACCACAACTCTGTGCCCGTCTTTGACTATCACGTCTTCTTGCTTTTTCTCCGGCGCCGGAGACAAAACCCCCGCCGTCGCTAGCGTGGTTAGGACTAGGGACAAAGCCAAAACGTTCATCATCTTCATTCAATTCTAATCTGCAGATCGATCGAGGAATGGGTGCGCACTAGATTCTATGGTAGTGTTGCCTGGAAATATTATGATGATGACACTCTGACAGTCCGACAAGTTCGAGAACATTTCGGGATTCTTGGGCAGTTTTGGAGAGTGCCACGTAGGCTTTTGATTGACGCGTGTCTACTGCATGAGAGTAATGGACTTCCAGGTGTCTGAGAATGTACCAGACTTGACTGCTGACGATGTAATGTTTACTTTATCATATCATATATTCATATGGAAATCATGTACGGATGAAGATACTTTTGTATTAGTGATATTAAGAGATATTCTTAATTTTTTAATCTGATTTTTTCACAAAAAAAATAGTTGTTTGTAATTCATTAATGAGTTGGTCTTTTAACTAAATATCATCACTTTATTTATTCGTCTCAAATTTTATCCTATGATTAATTGAACTGTTCATGCAAATATCACTTTATTTAATTTATTAAATACATAGCTTTCTCGTCCTCACGGACTTGATAGAGATAATTTACTTTTGAAAAAAGAAAATTAAAAAAGTTTAGTTGTTTAAATTTTTGTATTTCAAATGTTCGAGAATATATATTCAATTTTATAAAAATTATTATTGTTAAGCATTAGATTAGATGAATCAATAATAATAATAATATAAAAGAAACTAATACAGCTTAACAAGAAGAAGCTAGGGGCTTTGATTTAGAGTAGTGCTCAAGCATTAGATTAGAATCAATTAGATGTATCAATAATAATTAAAAAGACGGAAAAGGGTCGATTATAAAAGTTATTAACGTGTCTTTTTAAAATAATTTTTAAAAAATTTTAATTTATTTATTACAAATTAAGAAATTTTTTTAAAAATAGATGACAGCACCGTATGTTCTCGTCGGACAACAGTGCTATCTAAGCATGATGGCAATGTCCGTCTGGAAAAGAAATAAAAATGGGAAAAGTAAGATGTCAACTTTTAAAACAATTCATTTATTATTAATGCGTGGGCGTGCATTATGCGTCTAATGGGCACGGGAATGAATCATTTTTTTTCTCTATTTTTAGATTTACAGAGCCCACGTAAAATTATTTTAATGCAAATTATTTTCCATATCTCTCCTCTCTTCTCTCTCTCTTTCAACTCGCATTATCTCTCCTCTTAACAAAGCATAAAAATTCTAAAAAAATCACTATTAATGTTGCTCTAATACAAAATGTTGCTCTAATACAACTTAACCAGGAGGAGCTAAGGGCTTTAGTTTAAAGTGTTCAAGCTACTAGAGTACCATGAAATTAAAACACACTAATTTTATAGAGTTTTGGCTAAAAAAAACGCCAAAAAGAGAGATTCTTCGCCAGATTTTCAAGTGTTCTATTTATGTAGATAAGCAGGCCAAAGTCAGTGTTCTCGATCTATTGCAACCTCTACTCGTACTCTCTGAGTCTCTATACACCACCTTTTGCTTCACCTCTATTGAGCATCATCCTTTAAGTTGTGAGGAAAAATGTAACTTATACCACCACACTTTCCATTAGACGACCATATATATATATATATATATATAGAGTTAGGATCATATGAGAACATGTGCTTAGGTGAGAACGTGGGAACACATCATGTGCATCCATCTAAGAACGTGGGAACACATCATGTGCATCCATCTAATATTTTTTAATGGTCTAGATTAGATTAAGTGTGTGCGAGCGCGCATTAAATGTGTGCAAACACACTAAATCGCGTTTGCACACATTTAATGCGCGTTCGCACACACTTAATCTAATCTAGACCATTAAAAAATATTAGATAGATGCACATGATGTGTTCTCACGTTCTCACCTAATGACATGTTCTCACTGGAACTCTACCCTATATATATATATATATGGACCACACTTGCCATGCATGGACCTAAGCTAAGGGTCCTCTCGGGCTATGAGCAAGACCAACTTCATTCGAGTTTTCCTTCCTATAATTAATTTATGTGTCTTCTTAAAAGGCCATCATGTCTTGAAGATTATATTCTTCATTGTTACTCGTTAGGCCTCTTATATCTAATAACTGTGATTTTAATAGCTCAAAAATAAACTATGAACCTCTTATTAACAAAAAAAAAAAAAAAAATGAAATTTGTGATTTTACAAGAAAAGTTTGTTAATCAAAGATAGATGAAATATAACAAAATTGCAATAATGGTTCAATGGCTCTATTGTCTGCCCATGCATAGAGTTAATTAGTTTTGAAAAATCATAAAATTTATGATGAAATTATTTGTCAAAAATTAAATTTGAAATAACCATCAAAAGCAACAATCAAACATAGTATTAACTCGATCTTAAACATAATTATATATGAGAAAATTAGTATGGATAAGTGACTACCTGATTTTTACATACTGACCAAGAAGTAATATATAATATTTCTCGTTTTTAATCTTATTTAAATTGTATTATAGAAAGAAAAATAATAACTTTCCCACTTCTTGTTGATGATGAGGAAGACAACAGTAATTAATCCATTTGCTGCTTATTTCATTATATTATATAGTACTGGAACATACAGTAAAATTAATTCATTTGAAATCATTAAAACAATCATTCAATCCAAGTTATAAACTATAACAATTTTGACATTATTTGGGTCATATAACTATTTTTTTTAAGGATCATTTATTTAATTTCGTAGAATCAAGTTCTGATAGTAGTTATGTGCCTGATGAGCATGGCGACAACGTCCGGAGACGCTTTGGAGGATGCTTCCTTCATCTTTCTAATTCTCGTATCAGTTTCCGCTTCGAGACGCCTCACACTCGAATCTGAGCTCCCGCTACACTGCACAACCAATTATCTAATTATTACAACAACATACGACATTTGAACATAAAACACAAATGAAAATGTTTCATGTCGGAAAACAAAACACAAATGAAAATGTTTCATGTCGGAAAACAAAACCTCGGAGATTTGCTTCTGGTAATCGGCTTCTAACTGACTGCGGTAGTTCGCCACCTCCCTCTCTGCTTCATCGTGAGCCTGTCTCAACCGCCCCATTTTAACTGATCAACAATCAAGTGTTTTCGAGTTATAAAACCGTTTTATAACCGATCAGTCTTCTGGCTATCGGATGGAGGGATACCTTTGGGCAACAAAAAAAAAAAAGACGGGTTTAGGGATCCGACGACTTTACCATTTCTTGCAGATGCAATGATTTGTTGAGCATCCTGCTCTGCATTCAACAGCATCTGAATCCCTCCTTGAGCCTTCATTGTATCCATTTTTCACTGCTTCAATCTGGTAAAATCCCAAGAAATCTAAGCGATTATAGAAGTGTATATATATATATATATATACATAATGCAAGAATGCATGATGAATCTAGAGATCATGATAACCCCAAAAAAAGAATCAATTTTGAAAAATATACTTACCTGTACGAGTGTTTGGGTTACGTTAACAGATGGATATGGGATTATTGAAGATGGTTTAAGTAATAGTTGGAAGAATGATTTTCTAATCCACAAGTTTTGGTAGTTGTTGGTTTTTGATCCTATTTAACAGGAAAACCAAGAGCAGAGAATGCTCCTAGCTTGGAGCCTTAGACCAAGTTTGTTTGTTTGTTTTAAACAACAAAAATGTTGTCATGTTAAAATAACTAGGAAAATAGTTGGTTGTTTAACACTTTGAAAACATTATTCAACTCTGATCTAGTTAGAATTAGATAAAAATATATTGATTTGTAATATATTCAGCTAGACTAGCTAATGGGTATATATTATCTTTATCCATCATATATATTTTCCAAACCGTAACCGAGTGTTTGGGTTACGGTTCCGGTTGGAACCGTCGGTTCTAACCGAAATTATTAAAAAATAAATAAAAAAAAAACACTATAATAATTTTTTTTTCCGGTTCTAAGATTTTACAAACCTTAACCGGAACCAGAACCGTACAGTTCGATTCCGGTTCGCACAGTCACGGTTCCGGTTCGAACCATGTATGAACCGAACCATGGTCATCTCTAAGTATATTAGGCATTGCTGCTAATGCAGCTTGCAAAAAACCAAGACCAAATTAGGAAAATAGAATGACTCTACTTCATAGAAGTACATTGTAGTGCATGTACTTCTCTAGCCTTAACCAACAAAAACCACTACCCAAAAAAAGCAAAAAGTTGTCACTTAGTTAGCCTTCACCACCACTTCCTTAGCCTTCTTCTACAGCCCATTTACAAACCTAGAACAACACATTACTTTTCTTGCTTCACCACCACTTCCTTAGCCTTCTTTGATGTCCCAACATGAGCAAAGTCTTTAAACAGAGACCTCTTCAGAGGCACAACAGCAGCACTAACCTCTAAATCACCTTCAATCTCATCCAAGCCAGCAAACTTGTCCAAAGCTAAACCTTGAGACCCATCCTCCAACTCAACACATTCTTCATCATCAGTACCATAGAATTCCTAAATAAAATATGATTAGGGCCAACGAATAAAACCATATTTGGCAAATTGACCAAACACTAATACACAAATACCTCAGAACCTGCATCACCATCCAGAAAACCACCTACATCACCTGAACCAATTTCTACTTCTAAACTGTCAGCTGACAGACATGAGCAGTGTTGTGTAAGCACTGCTTCATCCCTGCAAATCCTAAGAAATGTGAAAGCAGAGTAGTAACTCTCTACCTACTCCTTCTTCATAGCAATACGAAACAGCATAGACATGCCACACAAACACCCTAGCTCAGCTGGAATATAGTTATTCCCCTACAAAGATTTAAAGACAAAAAACACATAAACATTTAAAGTAGTGAATTCAACAGCCAGCTATGTTGCATAGGAATACCTACCTCTGGATACTTAGCCTTTAAGCCACCAACTGACACACCAACCAATTCCGCACACTCACGATCCCATATAAGCATCCCCAGTATGATCAGCAACATAGACAATCAGCCTATACCTCACAACTCCATTGTGCCATGAACTTTTACAGCCACCACAATACATCATACCACCCTCAGCAACAACATTTCTCTTGCAAGAGATGTAATACCAATCACTTAAACTCTCTACATCAACAATTCCACCTGCCACCCGATACTCCCCTAGCAGCAAGTAACAATCAGATAAATAAGTAACATAGATAAAAAGTTAAGTAAACAATGCCATTGCAGAATACATTACCTGATTTTTGGAGTATATATCTTGAATAGAACTAATCAACACTTCATTAGGGTGCACAACACTACCAAGATAACTATCAAACAACCTCGATTCAGAATCTATACACCGTAAAGGTGTATGATTACTGTTATAGCTACTAACAGAAAACAGGAAAATAAATGTTAGTATAGAAACTTGAACTTATTACAAACAACAATAAAAATAGGTTAGAGAAACTAACATGCTCCTTAACTCACGAAACTCTTTGCAAGTGTGTGAGAAAAAGAGCTGAGTAGTATCAGAAGACCTACATATGCGTACATCACCATCTGCAAAAAATAAATTAGTGCATAGAAATTCTGGAACAATTGAATAGAAACAAAGATGTAATTAAGAAAATTAATACACATCACTCACTGTCCACGAATTTAGCTCGGCAAAGCTGAATCAACAATATGACTGGACCATTAGCAACTAAGTGGAAGTAAGGAGTTAATTGATTCACATGCTCATCCCACAGTGTACACTTAATCTATTTTTTACTGCATAAGATTTTAAAAACAACAGAGAAAGCATAAGATAAACTTTTAAAATCAACCTTAGGGAGAAAAAACAGAGTAAGGAATCATACTTAGAATCTTCAAGCACAAAGTCAATTAGCCCACTCTTTTTTCCAACTATTACCTTCTCTCGTGGTGAATATATCTCCACAGTACGACCAATGACATCTGTATTTGAAAACAGCAGCACATTAATTAAATAAAACTCAACATCACAATCTTTTTTTTTTTTTTTTTGAAAACAACATCACAATCTTTATAATAAAACATAATGACTTTAGAAAACATTTTTTTAAAACCCTAACCTATCAACACTTTCTAATCAATTTCTTGCTTTGAAAGTATGGCTTCAAAACTCTTGAAGCGAAACATTGTTTTTGAGAAATTCACATGCTTATACTCCTTCACAAGCGTATCATGTTTGAACTTCATCATGTAACAATGAGTGCTTGTTTTATACTTGAAGAAGTTAGTGATGCATAGGAAGTTTCTAATAGCATACACTTTACCCTCCTTGAATATGTTCTTATATTTTGCAACACTATCCTTAGGTATATGGACATGGATGAACACACCCTATATTTAAAGCACACCAAAAACAACTAAGTTAGATATCAACAATGTAAGATGTGCAAGAAATAAGTGTACGAAGCATGTTAAGATATAATTTACAAACCTCTTGATCATGAAATAGACATTCTTGACTTCTTATTAATTTTTCACCTTTGTTTTCAGTGACAACATAAGACCGCATACAACGCAATCTTATAGCCTTTAAGGTTTGCTGAGGATGAAGTTGCATCCCCACAATAAACTGCCCAGACATTCTGCCACTGAAATCCAGAAAACAAAACTTAAAACCTTGATCTTTACTTGTAATCTATTTCGCTTAGCTTTGTGTTTGCGTATCAACAATTAGAATGTGTATGTATTTATAGGTGTAGAAGTGAGCTGAGTAATGTATAAAATAATACAATACTTTACTTTTAAGCACTCTCATACCCATTTAGACTAATTTACACGCTACCCAAACACATTAGGCTACTAACTCTGCAGTAGATAATATCTAGTCCCCTAAAATCTAGGACTAACACCACACGTCTCCTATAACAATTCAATCTGAACATGCGGGAGAAGCAAACATTTGAATTCCAAATTTGTACAAAAAAAATAAAAAAATTCACAGTTACTAATTAGTAATTGACTAGCTAATTCATAGATTTCATGTGCTTACTTTCATTGTTTTTAAGTAATTAGTAATTAACTAGGATAATTCACAGTTATTAATTAGTAATTCACAATTTATTTTATTTTCTTTTGATTGGAAAAATATTGGCTCTGGCACGATTAAACATAACATTTACAAATATTTTCTAAACTCTAAAATGCATGAGTTATTAAAAAATATTATAATTTCACCTTTTTTTACGTTTAGAAAACAACTTTTTCAAAATTTTAACTTTTATTTTATTATTATAAAATCTAAAAATTTATAAAAATGTCTTTCATTTTTCATCTAAAAACAATTCTTTTTTTCATGTAATAAGCAAGCCCTAGAACACATATTTCATAGAAGTTTATTTCTATTGTGCCTTTATTGACAAAAGAATCTCAGTAAATAATTAAAGCGCTTAAAATTAGTAACTTAGTCGTAAAAGGGGAAAGGAAGTTCTCCCTTTGCGATAACCGACGGGAGATGGAAGACATTGAGGATTTGCTCGCAGGAAGCGGCGGAGGATCACCGCCCGGTTTCCGGCTGCCGCTAACGGCGGCGGTCGTCGGAGTCAATCCCAAGCAGCGGAAGAGGAGTGGTCTCCGGAAGTCCACCTTTCCCCAAGATTTACTCTCGAGTACCACCAATCAGACCCCCAAAATCCCCGGCACTCAGGTTTTTACCCTATTTTTAGAGCTTAGAGCTTGGACTTATGTATATATGTGCGTTTTTGTGTTTGTATTTGTTCTATGTAGCTGATTCATATGTGTGTATTTTGCAGACAATTTATGTAAAGACATTCGGCTGTTCGCATAACCAGGTATAGATTTTATCCTTTCATACAAAGGAAAAGGAATAGAGTAGTTATGGATGTTTATTGTAAAATTTTAGAATCCACACTACTAGAAATGCTGCTTTTTCACTTGTTTGCATCCGGATTTTTGAAATTTTAGCTTAAATTTTCGGTTCCAACCAAATGAATTATAATTGTGTGCATATACAAATGAGAATTCGATTATAGAAAATTCTTTCATTTTTCTGGGTTGATTCGTTTTCTTAAATGTGTTCATTTTCATTTGCTGTGATGTCAACTGCATATTTAATTTCTTTCAAGTTTTTATTTTGATTGCGTTTGTATTATTCTTTCTCTGACAGAGTGACTCAGAATATATGGCCGGTCAGCTTTCTGCATTTGGTTATGCTTTGAGTGATGACCCCAATGAGGCAGACCTGTGGCTAATAAACACGTGAGTTTTTATCTTTTTGAAGTTTATATCTAGTTGCTGCTCAAGACTGATGCAAAAGTATGGAATTCCTAAAGTTGCTATCATCCTGTACTATAGCAGTATTGCAGGCCAAATTTTAAAGATGTGCCTATAAATTTGTAGTGGCTACTTTCTGCATTTATGAAATTCACTGTGAGCTTTGAAATGTTATTTGATATTATTATATGATTTTTATTAACATTTCTTTCCATTTGATTCCTATGATATGATGCAGCTGCACAGTTAAATCCCCTAGTCAGTCTGCCATGGATACTCTTTTAACTAGAGGGAGAAGTGCAAAAAAACCACTGGTTGTGGCAGGGTGTGTGCCTCAAGGAAGCCGCAATTTGAAAGAACTAGAAGGCGTTAGTATAGTTGGGGTTCAGCAGATTGACCGTGTGGTAGAAGTTGTGGAAGAGACTTTGAAAGGTCATGAAGTCCGCCTTCTAACCCGCAAAACATTACCAGCACTTGACCTGCCGAAGGTGTGAAATTCAATTACCCCCCTTTTATATTTTTAATATATATATCAATATATCAATATATGTAGTTTATTCTTGAAGATAAAGTTGCATTAACCACTCGACAGGTGAGGAAGAACAAGTTCATTGAGATTCTTCCAATTAATGTTGGATGTTTAGGTGCATGCACATATTGCAAGACAAAACATGCCCGTGGTCATTTAGGAAGCTACACTGTTGAAAGTCTTGTGAGTTCAGTTACTCCCACAATATAGAATTCTGTTGATTCATGGTTGCTTGGGACCTTTTAGCATTTTCACTAAGCACATATAACATTATAGGTGGGACGGGTCAAAAATGTTGTTGCTGATGGAGTGAAGGAGATCTGGTTGAGTAGTGAAGACACTGGGGCATATGGTATACCTTCTCTTGGACTATTCTGTATTAAGTGCAAGCACACTCTTAACTGTACTAAAGGGTTCTTGTTTGTGAGAACTCACATTTTTAGTTTTTTGCCAAAATGTGTTTGTGTTTATATGTATATATAAAATTGTAGATAGACGGGCTAGTATCCAAGAAGCAAGGAAAGCCATCTAGTGAAAAGGCCAATGCATGAAACTTATGGTTTGTTGTCTTAAACCATTTTGCAGGTCGTGATATTGGAGTTAATCTTCCAATTCTGTTAAATGCTATAGTTTCTGGGCTTCCCTCGGATGGAAGCACAATGCTTCGCATTGGGATGACTAATCCTCCTTATATCCTTGAACACTTGAAGGAAATAGCTGATGTTTTGCGTCATCCGTGTGTTTACTCTTTTCTTCATGTACCTGTTCAATCTGGAAGTGATGCCGTCTTGAGTGTAAGTTTGAGAATGTGTAAATGTTTTCCATCAAACTCTTGGTTTTTCTTTGATGTTCCTTACAACCACTCTTTCTTTGTCCTTCATATGGTGTTTGCCAAAAAACTTCTGCTTATTGCCTTTTCAATTTGATAATTTATTGTTTTATAGGCAATGAATCGTGAATACACTGTAGCAGAGTTCAGGAAGGTGGTGGATACATTAACCGAACTAGTCCCTGGAATGCAGATTGCCACAGATATAATATGTGGATTTCCTGGTCTGTTACAAAATCTTGCTGTATTCTATATTTTTGCTACTATATTTTATGGTGAATTGTTTCTCTACCTACCTGTTGATTCAATTTCCAAGGTTCTGTGAATTAAAGTATTTTTGTTGAAACATTACGGCTTCTCAGGTGAAACTGATGAAGATTTTGCTCAGACTGTTAACCTTGTTAGGGATTATCAGCTTCCTCAAGTTCATATATCACAGTTTTATCCTAGACCTGGTATGTTGCTTTTGGTTACTAGTTTTATTTCTTTTTTCCTTTGAATATTTGTAGTTGATGGAGCATGAGTACAAATAAAGAGAAGATGTAAGGGCAAAAACTTAGTTGTTTTCTCTATCTTTTTTTTATACTATCCAGAACATCATTTAGCTTAGTAAATCTGTGTCAGGAACTCCTGCTGCAAGGATGAAGAAAGTTCCTAGTAATGTGGTGAAGAATCGAAGTCGTGAGTTAACTGCTGTATTTGAGTCGTTTACTCCATATACTGGAATGGAGGGCAAAGTTGAAAGGATATGGATCACAGATGTTGCTTCTGATGGAGTTCACTTGGTAAGATTATACTCCGTATTATAATGGCAAATGTCAGTTGCATTCAACTTCAGGAATGAACTTTGACCAATTTTAAGAGCATAATGACTTGATTGCAATAATAATACTATAATAGGAAGACTTACTAGTATTTTTTGGAAAATGGACTATTGTAGATTTGTAGCATGATGCATATATAGTTGAGAGTGTCGGTTCTTGGTTGTATGGTTGTACTTGATTCATTTATATTGCAGTTTAGGCGTTCTAAATCTGTATGCTCTCTCATTGGTCTAGGTGGGACACACGAAGGGATACATTCAGGTGCTGGTGGTTGGTCCTACGAGCATGCTGGGATCCTCGGCTATCGTAAAGATAACGTCAGTAGGAAGATGGTCAGTTTTCGGAGAAGTGATCGAGGTCCTTAACCAAAATAGCCAGGAAAGAAACGAAGCCAACGGGTCTCCTTGCACCAACTCACACGAAAACTGTGCATGTTCCAAAGAGCCAGAGTCATGTGCTTGTGCTGCTACGTCTTGCTGTCAAACTACAGTTCCAAAGAACGACTCGAGACAAGTAGACAAACAAAACGCAAACCTCATTGGGTGGTTACTCAGGAAGCGGAAGAACCATTTGCATAGAAAAGAGGCCGAGACAGTACTACAGGAATCTAAGAACATTCAAGGAGTGTCACCCGGTCACGCCACAGCCACAACCACAACCACATTATCAAGCGGAATCATTTTCGGTTTATTGACATTAATAGCACTATTATTGTTTCTGGGTTTCATGAATTTGTCATCCAACTGAATCTTTGTCTGCAGTTACACTGTTTTCAAAGACTCATAGTTTGAGAGAGTAGTCCGGACTAGAGCATACTACTTGGTGTCTTTCCAAACCTGGAAATTTTTTTTGTCAATTATTGCAAAAAGCAACAATTTTGTATCTGTTGAGTTTTGACAAATTGGAACTGTTGCATAAAACAAGAGTTTAAACATACTGCATTTTAAACCAAGAGGTTTCAGTGGCCTAATAGAAATACATATGTTTTACAGGGATGAAGGTGTTACACAGCTACACTGCCATAGGGCATTAAATAACACTACATATTGCCACTGCAGATTTTCTCCCTCGGGTCTTCATTACCGATAGATAGTCCCGACGAATGGCTGAGATGCTCTCTTGTCAGGAAAACTGTATCTGGCTGCTGGTATGAGGGGGGGCTCAAGCTTGATTCCAATATTGGATGAGTGAGCATCACATTGGGTTTGGCGAGTGCAGCGCCCGAATCTAGCTTCTGCATTTTGGAAGGCCTCTCGCCTGTAGGGGATTCTATTTGAGAGGTCTCGTGGCCACCAGAATCGGGGGTGAGAGGTTCGTGATGAGAAGAGAATGACTCATCGAGGGAATGGCTCTTGGCTGGTGCACGCTCCTTTGCATGCTTGTCGCCGTGAGGAGACTCGGATGTAGGCGCGGGAGTTGATGGAGGATCAGTCGCATTGATAGATTCGGGGCCATGCTCACCTGCCGCTGGATTCACCCCGCTTCCCGGGGCTTCCGTAAGCACCCCACTCAGTCGCTGTTGTTCTTCGATTATCTTCTTCAAATACTTCCCTTGAGCTTCTATTCTCAGTTGTAGCTGGCGCTGAACCTGTAAGCCACAACGTAAAGTCTTCATGAGCTACAAATTTTTTTTGTCAGACCACGGGGTGTCCTGAGCAGACCCTAACTGTAGGAGGCACCTTTAAGCCCGTACCCTAACTGTAAGGGGCAAAGTGCTGGTCAGATTAGTTTTTCCATACGAATGGGGTAACATGATGCCACTTTGCACCTGAACTAGAAGTTCAACTTTCCAAAAGATGAACATTAAACACCGATGTAAACTCCCGTGCTGGCTTCAAGTATGGAAGACATAAAATGATCCTCGAGGTCCTCGACTAACTAATTGAAGTCCTTAAGTCCTATAGGAGAACTAGTTACGAGTAAAAATAAACCACTTTTCATTATTTTTGATATGGATGTCAGACACGTGCAAATATGAATCAGCCTGATGCGAATTAACCATGCATGATAATTTTCTATAGCGGGAATATATGCAATAACATACTGAGACCGAAAGGGAAAATCTTGGAAGGGATTATGTGTCTCATTCAATGCTAAAATGCGCAGGAAAACAAACCTCTAGTTGCTCATGTAGTCGCTTTTGCACCTCCATCTGCAGCTTTAATGCCTCAGTGATTTGCATTCCACTGTTAACAAGAAGAGACTATTAACAATCATAAAGAAAACAGATCATAGGACGATGTCTCAAAGAAAACGTCTACTCACGATGAGCCATCCAAATTTGAGATCATATCCCTCGACTCTTTCTTGTCAGCTTTTTTCCCTTGTGATACAATTTACAAGAAATTTTCAATTATTTTTAATTTTAAATGAGAATTACTAATATACAGTATTAAATACGTAAGCAACCTACCATCGGAAGAGGAATCAGGAAGGTATTTGGCAAGTCGATATTTCTGGATAAATAAAGAAATATATATATAAGTTACTAGAACAAAAAAATTCAGAAAGAAGGCTTCTTAAAAGGAATATTTGCAGAAATCATAATATTATTGCTTGTCTACCTGCAAATGGCTCTTTACGTGATAAATTGTAAGCCCTTGCACACCCATGACTCTCAAGACACCTTTCGGTGTAGCCCCTGGACAATCAAAACCAATATTGCAATAATTTAAACTGTGCAAACTTCATAAATTTCAGAGATCGAATGCAGTTTCACACTGTAATTTTTCTTAAGACACTTCCAGTAATGGTAGAATGTAGATATCAAGAGTCTTTGCATGAAGAGAAAAAGATATGTTGTCTTCACAAATGTTCCTTTTTTTTTTTTTTTTAATTGGGTCAGACCACAAGGTGTCCTGAGCAAGCCCTAATTGTTTAAACCCGTACCATACTCAAACTAATCCCCGTTAGCACCGGCCCGGCCCAATTAAGGGACAAAGCGCTGGCCAGATTAGTTTTTCCATACGAGAGGGGGTTTGAACTCCCGACCTCTCTTAAGGGACGAGAGTGCACGACCACTCACGCCAACCAAACTGGTTTACAGTTCCTTTAACCCGAACTAAAAATGTCTCTGAATGGGAAAATTTAAAAACCTCCAAACTGCTTTAGCACTAAGTATCGAGAAGACTGTTGGAAGAACCAATATGACTAAGAACAAATAAGAATTCAAGGAACTCACGATCGGGGCCACCGAGTTGTGCCACTGCATCAACAAATCGCTCATGAAGTTCATTTGTCCAACGGAGACGTTGTTTTGAAGCGAGACTTGGATTGTTGTTGAGGTTATTACCCCCACTGATTGGATCCATTGTGCTGGGGCCAGATTCTAATGGCTGAATGCCCATAGCATTGCTGTGGACTAAGTTTGAACTAGAAACACCGTTTGGTTGATACATTTCATTAATCTGCAGGCGAGATATAAGCCTCTTTAAACATTAAAACACAAACTAACATGAAGTTTTCATTAGCAAAATAATTACTAAAATGAAGCTTCCACTACATAATGAACTCAACTCTTGATGAACGCTTGTAGTATATTTAGCTGTTCTTTTCATTCTTGATTAGCATTTCTTTCTATTATTCATGACTAATAGATGCACCCTCCTCTTCTCCTTAATACTTTCTCAAACAAATCAAAATTTAGCTTATCCCCATTTGAGGTCACCTTTTATATTGGACTATTTAGATCATATATTCCTTTTTTTTTTTTTTTTGATGACCCGGGTTTCCCGGCTTTGCTGGACTATATCCTGGACCCCATGAACCCGCCCTTAGGCCCATGAGGAAATAAATCGAACCAATCTAGCTTCAAGACTCAACACCAAACTATACACTTTTGTGCACGAGGAGTCCAACCCAAACCCCCACCCTACCGCTCGAAGCAAGACTTTTAAGTGATGCTTCTCATCCACTAGACCATTTTTACCCACCCTTACTCATTTTTTCTGCCAGTTACCATGTCCTTCCCTATTGTTCCTACCAAAGTCAAATCTCGGTGATCTCTTTAAAAAATTATTTACAAGTGAAACTAATTAACTCCTAAATATGAACATGCCCAATACATAACAGACACCAGAAGTACTCTATTCAAAATTTCCTTCATTTTGTTGACCAAAGCATATGTTCATTTATACACTTGAGAGACATTCTTACCTTCTACAGTTCTATCATCAGATTACATTGGAACATTCTGCATAAATCCAACATTTTAATATGAAGTGCTCATCATTCTTCCTCATTCCTTTTTAATATTTGAAAAACCAAACAGCTTATATCAAATCCATTTTACCATTTACACTCCAATTCTTTGAATAAGTTTAAATCATAACCACAATTCTCACACGACATAAAATACAAAAATACTCCGTATCATGCACTAATGCCTCTAAAAAAGAGTCAAGCAGTACTAAATAGAAATTGAAGGAAGAGCCAAGCCTCTGTTCAAAGACACTAATAACTATCGGATAATTGTTGATACTCATTATTCCATACGTTTATCTACAACTCTCCTCAGCTTAAGCCCTCTTTCCTCCCAAAAACAGACAAATACCAACCACGCTTTAACGGTACACTTTCTGCTATCTTAGCTTCATCCATTCTTCATAAGCACGTGTAATTTTGAATCCTCACATGCCGTCAAAACTTACATCTTTTTGCAAGAGGACTTCAACTCCAAGCCAAGGCAGTTCTTTACAGTAAACATAGAATCAATAAAACATACAATTACAGCTGCTTCCTCGGCATAGGAACATTAAATGGTTATTTCGAATTTCAATTTTGAAAGGCTTGTAAACAAAATGGGAAAAAAAATGCTTTGCAAAGGTAATTGCTGAAACCAAGTGAAGCTACAAAATTAAGCAGGCTTCTTAAAACTGAGCATTTAATTCCCATTTATAAGTTATCAACTTTACCAAACTGTCACCATATAAACTTCATACCATAATCAGAAGAGTTCAACCCTAACTGGTTCACTTATTTTGTTCAAATAACAAAAGCCTTCTAATCACCCTTTCATTTTCTCAATTACATTGCACTATAGAAGTCAATGACTCAATGGAAGATTATATTTTCTTGGGACAAATTATAAGTTACCACATTGTTAATTACAAGTTAAGCACAATTTAGCCCGTCAAAGAAGAAATATAACCCAGAACTGCTTCCCGGTGGGCGGTGGCAGCACTTAATTAAAAGGAAAAAAAGTTAACTTTTTTGACAGACTGCTTCCTCCTTTAACTCATTCATCACACATTGCCCTGCACCCCAATACAGAGAGAAAAATTTCTTCACTGCCACCTTCTCTTATGTGCATTCACTAAGATCCATACACCATTTCTATAATAACAATCCAATGCATTTTGTGCTTAGAGCAAAACACTCCAACAACTAAGTTATCTTTTACTCAGTAGCAAATTCTTGATTGTAGTCACATGACACAGCTTTAACTATCTTCAAATTTTCCCTAATATCCTTCAAGCATACAAAGCTAAAACATAAATTGGCCTCTATATGTGAAACCCAACCGCATAATTCAAGCAAAGTTCAAGCACAACACTAAAAATATGAAATATACAAATCAAATAAAACTAAAAAAAAAAGTCATCAATGCTTTTAATGTGTATCTTAAAAGCTGCAGAAATAACAATCTGACATTGCAAACCAAGCTTTACATTATAAATAAAATAAAATTAAAAAAAAAAAATAATCACGCACAGAATTGCAAGAAATTTTAACAAAAGCTGATAAAGCACAGACTTTGAAGCTCCCCAGGTGAAGGGCAACCGAAATAACTAACGTCAAGCTAGGAAATGAAAATTTGGCATAGAAATTCAGGGGGGAAATGAAGGGAAGGGAGGAATTAGCAAACGATGTTTGGAAGTGAGAAATCGAGGGGTAAAGCGGTAATTCTCCACTTACAGCGGTTGGGAGAAGTTGAAGAGTGCTCCCTCTCCTTCTTCTTCTTCTTCTTCGTCTTCGTCGCCGATGAGATCTCCCACTTTCTCTCTCTTCTCCCTGTTGCACTTGATAGTGATTTTTTTTGAATTTATGAAATTATTTATTTCAGGGGAAGAAATTAATAAAAATGAGAGATATAAACATATGTTTCTTATGAAATTGAAACTGCCCGCGGTCAGATATGTACTGCCCGTGGTCCGCTCTAACTTCTGTTTTTGGACCTTTAATGAAATAAATATTAAATAGGCATCCAAACACAATAATCACCACTATTCAACTCCTAAACTACTTTACTTGATCATAATATAAAGATAGATCACAAGAACATTTATCAATATCACCATTCAACAAATGCGCAGATTGACTTGCTAACATGAGTCAATCTACCAGCGGGGAACGATCATTCTTGACAATGCTCCAGGTAGCTTACATGGCCTGCTCAGTATGAGGGCTTCAGGGTTAGATAATCGCTCTAATATGAGGGCTTCTGATGTACAAAAAAAAAAAAAAAACAATGTATGAGATAAATGGAAATGGAAATAGTTTTAATAAACTAGAATTCAACAAGATAGAGTAGATAAACACAACATTAATCCAAAATATGCAATAATATCAAAACTAGAACAAAGGAAAGACATTATCAAAAAAAAAAAAAAAAAAAAAAAGAAGAAGAAGAAGGAAAGACTACAAAAGTAGAGCATACCCTAAACAACACTTTTCTCTACTGCTATGACTACTGTGACAGCTCTCTCTTGTTGACAAGAGAAAAAGATCTATTTATAGGGAACTTGTAAGGTTTCGTCGCACATGCATGCCTTTGCCCGTGCAGTTGCACCGGTAAGGCATGGGGACAGAGTGCCCATGCGGAAGACAAGCTTTATGCACGGGCGTGCCACCACTCGTGCGTAATCTTGTCTTCACGCAACAGTGTTCCTGATTCCAGTCCTTTGCGTGTTTTTTCTCTGATTTTACTCTTATGCTCCTTTTTTTTATTTTTATTATTTTTAAATAATGTGTTTTCGCTATCAACTTTTGCTATTTTTTTCATTTCCTTCCTCCTAAGTGTATTTGAGTTATTTGGAGTATAAAACACCCAAATAATTATTCCAAAATTGGTGCAAAAATAGAGTGAAAATATGTTATAAAATGAGAGTCATCATAGTATATTACCTAAAAAATGAATCTTTAGTACATTAAAATTGCATATTTATCAATGGTTCACACTATAATTTGCTTTGATACCTTCAAATACATATATAATATATTTGGGCCTTGTATATGGGCCTTAGTTAATGATTCCTTCAAATCCATAGATATTTGGGCCTCAGTTAATGATTCCTTCAAATCCATAGATATTTGGGCCTTGGTTAATGATATTTGGGCCTTGTATAAGAAGGCTTTTTTTTTTTTTTTTTTCACGAAGTAGGATGATAATTCACCGAGAGGCAAATTATAGGCAAATTATGCTGTGCAATCGTGTGCACCTTGCATATTATAGAAATTATGGATTCAATTTTGTGTGCACCTTGCATAGTACACACAGTTGCACATCATAATGCTTCCAAATTATACTATGAATTATAATTTACATTGCAAGGTGGACAGTTGATGAATGTTCATTTTTAGTAAATGGAAGATTCATTTTTAATATATTATAGGTTTTTTTAGGTAATATATTCAAAATGAATATGAAGAACGAACCTTCACTACATTAAAAAGAAATTTATATGTTTGTGGCTCACCTTACGATGTGGTCTACAGTCCATGGGCACCGAGACTCCTTTCCTTCCACTGTTCCACACACTCTATTTTTCACGATTTATGTAAAATTTTAAAAATAAGTTAATTTTATTTGTATTCGAGTAATACTACATGTACTCCCACTTTCTATTCTATTTTTACTCTCTGCTTCATTCTTTGATTGATTTAAATAACAAAGTGAACTACTGTTTTTATTCATTCACTTTTATTTACACAATAAAATTTATATACGTACAGAAATTATATTTCATGGGAATACATATATCATTTTCCTTTTTATCCTCCATTATTGTACTAATTTCATATCTAGTCTTATATTTTTAATTTTTAATTTTTAATTTTCTGTTTGCATTCTATGAATTAACTTACGTCTCTCTCAAGTCATTTAACACAGACCCAACAATTCCATTTGTTTTTTTGAAGGTGCCCAACAATTCCATTTAGTCCTCAGACCCAAAAATTCCATTTAGTTTTTTTAAGTTACCAGTCAAAGAAAATAGAGTTTTTGGATCTATTTTAAGGCCCTGTTTGGTAAATGATTGTTAGCTGTTTAGTTGATTGGTTTAATTATAGGGTATAGCTAGTTGATAACATTAGCTGATTGTAGAAAGATGTTTGGTAAATTAGCTGTTTGGTATAATTTCTTTTCTCAAAAAGCTAATTGAAAAATTTGCTTAGAGCAGCTTTTTGAATTTTAACATTTTGGAGTTACAAAAAGCTAATTAATCAAACACTTATATTAATTTTTTGAGAAAAGGGTCAAATACACCCCTAAACATTTCACTAAAGGTCAATTAACCCCACAAACTTTTAAAAAGGTCAATTGAACACATGAACACACAATTTTGAGTCACTTGACCCCATTAACCGGTAACTTTTACCTGATGAACCGGTAATTGACACCGTGGCGTGACACATAAGCGTTGGAGTGGGTACTTGGCTGCCACATAAGCATAAAAAAGAATTAAATTAAAAAAAATTAAATTAATAAATAAAGAATTTAAAATCAGCCCTAAATTCTAATTCTTCTCGGCGTCTTCTTCATTGCGTTTCTTCACCGTGTCTTCTTCTTCTTCTTCTTCTTTGTACTCCATCTCACCCAGTACAGTGCTTCTGAAACTACTGCTCATTCCTTAAACAAATACAATCAAAATAAACAAATAAGCTTTTGAAACTACTGCTCATTCACCCTTCTTCTTCTTTGTACTCCATCTCACCCAGTACAGTGCTTCTGAAACTACTGCTCATTCCTTAAACAAATACAATCAAAATAAACAAATAAGCTTTTGAAACTACTGCTCATTCACCCTAAACATATAAAAAGCTTTAGTTTTCCATTCCCATAAACAAATTTGCGGTAGCATATCAGTGGTATGAAAAAAGAAATTTATACTGCTTAAAGAAAAAGAAAAAACCTAAACCCTAAAACTAGTGGTAGAAGAAAAAGGAAAAACCTTCAATGGTGATGGTGGTGCGACGAGGTGGTGGACCGCCGGAGTGGAGCGCCGAACGGTGGCGGAGGCTGTTGCAACGAAAAAGAATTAGAATGAAGAAGACGAGAAGAATTAGGACTAATTAGGACTAATTAATTCTTTTTACAATAATTTAGGACTAATTAATTCTTTTTAGGGCTGAATGAAGAAGACGAGAAGAATTAGAATTTAGGACTGATTTTAAATTCTTTATTTATTAATTTAATTTTTTTTAATTTAATTCTTTTTTATGCTTATGTGGCAGCCAAGTACCCACTTCAACGCTTATGTGTCATGCCACGGTGTCAATTACCGGTTCATCAGGTAAAAGTTACCGGTTAGTGGGGTCAAGTGACTCAAAATTGTGTGTTCATGTGTTCAATTGACCTTTTTAAAAGTTTGTGGGGTTAATTGACCTTTAGTGAAATGTTTAGGGATGCATTTGACCCTTTTCTCTAATTTTTTTAACCAAGTCAAACAACTAATAGTGGTCAAATAAGTCAAAATTGATCTATAGACTAACTATTTTACAAATAGGGCCTAAATGACTTGAGAGAGATGAAAATTACATATATATATATATATATATATATATATATATATATATATATATATATATATATATATATATATATATGGAGAGTGTAGATGTCTCTACATTTTTTTTTTTTAGGGAGAAGTGTTCTCACTTTACTTGTCCTCCCACATAATGAACTGTTAAGTTACTGTGATTTGTCTCTCTATTATCCTGTCGGGCCAATACATAAAGCCCCGCAAATTATGCCCTGGACCCGTGTCCACAATGAATTGTGGACACGGGCCCAAAACGACGTCGTTTTTTAAAAAAAAAAAAAATCGTCATTTAGTTAAAAAAAAAAAATTCACGTGTGTTTTGCCGTTAACGGCGTTATTTTTTTTTGAATTATGAATGTACAGTTATGCCGTTATGAATGTACAGTTATGTTGTTATGAATGTACAGTTGCAATTATGAAATTATGAACACAGAGCTCTAACATTATGAACTTACAATTATGAACATATAGTGATAAAATTATGACCATGGAGCTTTAAAATTGTGAATATAGAGCTTCGAAGATTATGAATGTACAGTTATGGAGTTATGAATGTACAGTTATGGAGTTATGAATCTACAGTTATGGAGTTATGAATCTACAATTATGAGATTATGAATCTACAGTTATGGAATTATGAATGTACAGTTATTGATCGAATTATGAACAAAGAGCTCTGACATTATGAACTTACAATTATGAACATATAGTGATAAAATTATGAACATAGAACTCTAAAATTGTGAACATAGAGCTTCGAAAATTATGAATGTACAATTATGGAGTTATGAATGTACAGTTATGGAGTTATGAATGTACAGTTATAGAGTTATGAACGTACAGTTATGGAGTTAAGAATGTACAGTTATTAATATATAGTAATAAAATTATGAACATATACTCCTATAACGAAGCAGTCTGAAATTTAAAAAAAAAAAAAGAAGGAGATAACAGTGCCTAACGGCACTATTACCCGTGTCCAGCATGCATGCTGGACACGGGTCCATAGCATAACGATTGTAAAGCCCCTTAGGACAAGAGATTTTGTCTTTTGTGAATAGAATCTTTGAGTATTATTGTTACGTTTTCTATTAATATATGTTTCTAATTATGGTAAAAGTTTAATATGGCCATTATATTGTGATTTGTAACGTAAACTGCAAAATGGATCATTATTGATCATCACCTCAATGAACGCCATGAACATTGCATACCCGGGCACGAGCGTTGCCAATGACCTATAAGTGGTTACACACGATATATTGTTATGTGTCACACACAGTCCTATGCCACTATCTCATTGCCCTTGCATAGCTTTCTTGCCATTAACCCTTACCTCTTTGGTCTCAATCCAACTTCTGATTCTACCTTTGCCTCTAGGTCCAATCATCTCCTAAACTCATGCCTAGCTAATTTCTTCCTCACGTGTAAATACGTTCATTTCAACATACCCAATCAAATTGTTACATCTAGTTGTTAATAAATACAACACGGTAATTAAAATCCGAACAACACATCTTAGTGATGCTCAATTACTTATTTCACACGCATAACCATCATACTCAAGCGATTGCCAAATTAAAACTTAGCATTTGCACATTTCTCCTCGCATTCAAACAAAAGTAATAACAACCCAACAAGTTCACATTTAACAACAATAAAACCACACTACAATAGTGAGGTTTGATTACAATGAAGGTAATAGACTATACTAGTAGTCTCACCCCCATGCATAGTTATTCAAAAGAGTCTTACAATCTTATTTCATCTACATTATATTGATGATTGAGACATTATTATTATTATCGTTGAGATTACTTGATTTAAACATTTAGGGTGATACAACCTTGCAAAAGACCTAGCAAAGGGGTGAATCATTGGAATCGAAGAGTTGACAGCCGTTGTTTGCAACTTGACAACAATTTCTACAAACTGGCTCAGTCCTTCTGTTATTAGGTGGGCAGATCATATAGGCTGCTTTAGGATCACAGACCTGGGGGCAAATCTGAGCATTTCCAAGCTCCACATTACTTCCCAATAAAAAAATACCTATAAAATACATACAGGTACATTTAAGTCAGAATGTATTGACTAAACAAAAAAGGAACACTTTTTTTTATTACAACTATATTAACATACACACACACACACACATATATATATATATATACATATATATATATATATATATATATATATTATTTAAATTAATAATAATATAATGTTTTCAATTCCGTGCATCAACACAGGTAAAATACTAGTTTATATCTAAAAGTGTAGAGGATGTAACGCATACCACACACAAGGAGGACGGTGAAGAAACCAACTTTGCAAGCAGCCATGTTTGCTCTATATACCTTGATTTCGGATGAAATAATGTAAAGTTATGAGATTGAAATTTTTGTGTGTATTGTTGAGTATGTTGTCGTAACTAGTTGTTCCTATTTATAGCAGAAAAAGATTGTTGCTTGTGATTAAAATAAGAGTGAATTCCATTTTTGGTCCTACTCTTATTGGGGTCTTTCCAGATTTAGTCCACTATAATTTTTTTTGCCAAATTACACCCACAGTTATTAACATCATTCCAGTTTTAGTCCACGTTAGACTTTCCGTTCATTTGGCCGTGATTTGGAGGGGCATTTCCGTCATTTTATTTTGTTTCTCTTCTACTTTAAGTGTTGACACCACTTCTTCTCCCTTTCCTAGTTTTCCCAGCGGAGGTCTTCTTCTACCGTTTTCTACCCATTTCAATCTACAAACTAAGGAGCTTTGCTTGAATGGAAAGATACAAAGGAGAAAGCTCTAATTCTTCCCGTTCTTCAAATACAATGAGAAAGTGTTATGTGTATGGTGAATGGATTTCAATTCAGAAATGTCAATGTGGCCAAGAAATGGTTTTGAAGACATCATGGACAAATGAAAATCCAGGTAGGAGGTACTGGGAATGTTCAAGATGTAAGGTTAGTATTTTATATGTTTACAATTTAGAAATTTTTGCAATGGGTCAATTTTCAGTTTCCAAATTCGCAATTTTGAGTTTACAATTTCGCAATTTCGAGTTTTTAATGTCGCAATGTTCAGTTTAATCTTCGCAATTTTGAGTTTCATCTTCACAATTTTCAGGATGGATCATGTGGGTTTGTGAATTGGTATGATCCCCCAATTTGCCCTAGGTCAAAGAGGATAATACCTGGGCTATTGAGGAGAATTAACAAAAGTGAAGAAGAAGTTGCAAGGTTAAAAGCCAAGTTGAGAAGTCGAAGAAATGAAGAAGAAATGGAAGAAACGGAAGAAATGGAAGAAATGAAGGAGAAGCATAGGACTAGTAAATGTAAATTCCTGATGGCTGTTGTACTTCTGATTGTAGTGGTAATGGGTTGTTTGGCTGTAGGGAAGAATGATAGTTTAGGTGTGCCTATGCTCCCATAATGTTTATGTACTGTATGTTTGGTTTGTGTTGCAATAAAAATGGTTTGTGTTATGTTGGAATACTGCAATTGAATAGAAGGTTTATATGCAAATGAACATCAACCATGGCTATTTTGTTGTTGTGCCTTACTGCCAAAAGAATAATTACCAAATGACAACACTTTCATAGCCAAAATGAACACAAATATACTGACCAAACTGTATTCTGCACTAAAGAGTAATATAACCAAAATACAGTTCTTCATTGTGACCAAAAGCCAAAACCAAAAGACAGAGCCAAAATGGTTTCTGACCAAACTGTATGTTACACATCAGATAGCTCTAATACATAGACAAAACACATAGCCAAAAGATATTACTTCATAGCCAAAATACATAGCAAAATGAACAATTTTGATCACAAAAAGCAGTGTATTCTGATCAAGGTTAATCAATGTTAAGAGGTGTGTCAATGGTGTTGGTGAATCTTGACTTCATAATAGCTCTTGTGCCATATCTTCTGACAGGTTGAACACTTGATGTCTTGGATTTCTTGGAAGTCTTGGAAGTCTTGGAAGTCTTGGAACTCTTGGAAGTTTTGTTGCTCACTTGTGGTACAATTTCTTGCTGAGTGTTGTCAAACTCCATTGATGGTTGAATAATTGAAATTTCTTCATGCTGAACAGCCACTCCACCTTCAGGAACATTGTCAAACATAGCAGCTACCTCTACTGCTTCAGTCCAAAAGTCTACACATATCTGACCCTCCAAACCAACTTCATGAGGCTCACAACCAAGTCCAGGGAGAACAGCCTGCTGAGAATCATCTGTAGGGGGCACAACATGCTCAGAACCAACTGTAGGGGGCACAACCTGCTCAGAACCAACTATAGGGGGCACAACCTGCTCAGAACCAATTGTAGGGGGCACAACCTGCTCAGAACCAACTGTAGGGGGCACAACATTTCCTGTTTGCTGCTTCGTTTTCCTTTTTTTGGGATTACACTAGATGAAAAGAATATATCAATGTAATAATTCCAGTCAAATGTAATAAAGAATGAACAATTAGTTTGTATAAGGTACAATACCTTTCTTTGCCTGACAATAGGATCAGTAGGACATGTTCGTGCATTATGGCCTGCCTTGTTGCATTTCTTGCAATGTTTGACAATCAAGCTACGGTTCATATGTGTCCCATCTTTGGTCAGTGGTGGTTGATCTTTGGTCATCTCATGCATAGACAGCTTCCTCAGTTTTTTTGGTCTGCCAGGTTTACTTTTTTATAATGGGGGCAGTGGTGGTTGCTTGTTTGATCTAGGCCATTCAGCAGGACCAGCAATGGGGATTATCCTCCCTCCATACGTATTCAAGTAAGCATTAATTGAGTAACAGCTGTCTACATAATGATGCACAACACCACTTTTACCATTCCTAATCCATATGGCACACACTCCATGTTTACAAGGTATTCCTGTTAAGTCCCATTTCCTACAACTACAAGCCCTCCTAAACAAATCAACAGTATGCTGCTCTAAACTCCCATTCCCTGCCATACATCTTACTTCAAACAAGTGTTCATCACTCTGATTCCCTAAACAGTTACCAGCAGCTTGCTCAATTAAATCAAGTTTTTTCATTATTGTAGGGCAGAAAGGTCCCTTCCATGCCACAACCTTTTCTCTACTATCAAATATTTTTGTCATCATTAATTTCCTAATGCTTTCTAAACAGGAAATCAGTGGTTTTTCTCTAGCATCTAATAGCATGGCATTAAAACTTTCTGAAATATTATTCACTAGAGCATCACATTTAGAGTAAGGTGTGAAATGGGACCTTGACCATTCAGAAGGGTGCTTATCTGATAGCCATTTATATGCTTCCACATCTAAGCCCTTGATTTCTGCCATGGCATCATAGAACATGTTCACTGTGGTGGCCTTGGCTGCTGCCCATAATGCATCCTTCATTGCCTTGCCAACAAATCCTGCCACCTTCATGTTTCCGTGAAGATGTCTCACACAGAATCTATGTGAGGCATGTGGTAGAACCGCTTCAAATGCTGGGAGAAGACCTTTTTGTTTATCTGCAAAACAAGGTATCTTTCAATACATGTGGGTAAAGATATATAATTCACTGTACAGAAATAAATGCACTGCCAGTCTGCCATACCTGATATAAATGTCAGTTCATGTTGATCTTCAGTTGTGATTTCCAAGTCCCTCTTTAAAAACTTCAAAAACCAGGACCATGATTCCTTTGTTTCCCCTTCTACAAGTGCATATGCTAGTGGGAATATGCTGTCATTCCCATCAATCCCCACAGCAGTTACAAGAATCCCTCCAAACTTGCTTTTCAAATGGCACCCATCAACACCAATTAATTTTCTACAAAACTTATACCCATCTTTGCTAGCTTCCCAACAGAAATACATTCTAAGGAATCTAGGCCTCCCATCATACAACAAATCAGTTTCTTTAACCTCAACAGAAGTTCTGGGGTTTCTTTTTTGAATCTCCAATTTATAGTCCCAAATCTTGTTGAAAAAGTCCATAGCTTCTCCTTCAATCACAGCCTTAGCTTTTGTTATGGCCCTCCAAGCTTGCTTCTTACTTATTTCACATTTGTCATCAACCTTCACCTTGTTTCTAAATTCATTAGTACTCCAGTTGCTGTGGTGGCCAATTTCTTTCACCCATCTTTTAGCCATTCTTGTTGATTTCACCATGGAGTTTTCATACACCCAACCACACCCATCATGTTGTTCATGATAACTAACAATTCTCCAAGACATGTCATCCTTAACTTTCCATAAATTAATCTTGAAAGGACAACCACTTTGTCTACACCTTACACACATCCTACACTTGTCATTCTTTGTAAACTTTAATTCCTTCCCAGTATGCAAAGCATAATTATAGACAGCTTCTCTAAACTCAACCTTAGATCCAAAAGTTAATCCAACAGAGAACTTAGGGCAATTCATCTCAGTCTTTGCCCTAAACTCTGGCCACTTAAATTTCTTTTCATCATCACTGTCCTTCCCACTATCTTCATCAGAGAAATTCAGACCTCCATTTCCATATTTCACACTCCCAACCCCATTTCCATCATTCACAGAAACAATATTCTCCCTAGATGATTGAACAGCATCAACCCCTGCAAATTCTGCATTCTGATCTACATGCCCATCAAACTCTAAGTCATCATTTCCCTCAGTATCCCCACTACCCTCACTGTACTCCAAATCATCAAACTCCTCCTCACCTTCAACTACATTTTCACCATCCCCAGCTCCCTCATCACCTATCACCCAAACCTCAATTTGTTTGGGAAACTGGCCACTGTCACATATTGCCCAACAATCACTATCATTGTTTAATTCAAATAAGACCCCACTAGTAGGTGTGAAGTATTTAAATTTATCTAACATGTTATATCCCAATTCCTCAACTGTGTCCCTTAAAGTTATCATCCCCCACAAATCAATATTCAAATTATAAGACTGAGTAGCCCCTCCAACATATCCTATTCCATTCTTTTTTAGGCTCCCTCCATGTCTTAACTTCAGACTAAAGGTATCTGTATTATTTCCAAACACATAAACAAAGCAAAAACAAATGATCAAGCTCAATTATTGGTTTTTAACATATTCTAACAAAAAAGGGGGAAAAAAAAAAACACAGTTTACCCAGCAGTGGTCCCCAGAACATAACTTTCTAATAAAAACCCTACAACAACATGTGGTCCCCTGTTTATATGCATATATACAATTCCAAGTGCATAAGTTAAAGCATCTACCCTACAGAATTTAACATAATTCCATAACAATAGCCGACAGCAAAGCACAATGACAACCCTACACATAAAAGCCGTGTACAAGCAATGGCAGACAACAAAGGACAATGACAAATACTTAAATGGCATTAACATGCTTTACCTAGGTTACTTTATTCATTGTATACACATACAACTCAGAATATGTAAAAATCGACTTTTACCTAGGTTTTTGGGGTCCATCGTTCTTGCTTCCTCCCGTCAGTACTCGTTGATTTAGCTTTCCAATTTCATCGATATTGGTTGGGATTTTCGTCGAAGAATGTTTGGCAATCGATGCGTCGTTGATTCGATTGTCAAACAGGTTGGAATTTGGCTGGGATTTAGGTTTGATTCGATTGTCGTAAGAGAGGGTTTTACGTTTGATTAATGAGAAGTGTATACCATCGTCTGATTTGGGAAGAAATGGTAAAGTAGAATACAAACACAAGAAAATGACGAAAATGCCCCTTCAAGTCACGGCCAATTGACGGAAAGTCTAACGTGGACTAAAACTGGAACGATGTTAATAACTGTGGGTGTAATTTGGCAAAAAAAATTATAGTGGACTAAATCTGGAAAGACCCAATAAGAGTAGGACCAAAAATGGAATTCACTCTTAAAATAATGCAAAAATGAATGAGATCAAATGAAGATATATATGAATTGAAAGACTTTTCCTCCTCTCAAATGTGAATTTAAGATTATTAGTTCATCAGTACATATATGTCATCATTTGTCTATGTTTGACTTTTGACATTTGAGATGGACCAAAACTAAACCAGAATATATATAGAAAAAGATTCCTATGAGCATTTGTTATTTGGAGAAAGTTAAGAACTAATAATTTTAACCATTTATGTGGCTAGATCTCAACAGTACGTTTTAGAATAAAGAGAAAAAAATTATGGTGACATTTCAATAAAAAATTTCAACGTTAAAAGTATACTTTTCAACAGAATAGGGTACACTTTTAAGGATCGTTATGTCATGGAACCGTGTTCACCATCCATGGTGAACACGGTCCCAACGGTGTTAGTACATCGTTATTTTTTTTCCTTAATTAATCGCGTGACTTTTCTTCTTTATTTTCACATTTCGCGGTTTCACTTTAATTTGAGGTGAGCAATGATTTCGGACATTCATAAATTATGAATCCATGCCGGCATATTCACTTTGGAACCATGCCTACACATTCCCGTCCGAAACCATGGCTGCTTCTCTGTAGCGCAAGCTTCTTCAACATTCATAAATTATGAATTTTCCATGCCTACACATTCACTTTGGAACCATGCCTACACATTCCCGTCCGAAACCATGGTTGCTCCTCTGTAGCGCAAGCTTCTTCAACATTCATAAATTATGAATTTTCTGTTATGAGATTATGAATTTACAATAAATTCATAATCTCATAACAGAAAATTCATAATTTAATAAATGTTTTTCTTTTATGCGATTATGAATTTTCTGTTATGAGATTATGAATTTAAAGTACATTCATAATCTCATAACAGAAAATTCATAATCTGACCAAACGCGCGCCGTTAACACCACATTCGCTATTTTTTTATTAATGTAAAAACGGCGCCGTTTGGACCTGTGTTCACCATGAATGGTGAACACGTTTCCAAGGCATAATTTGCCACACTTTTAAACACTATACTGTGTATTTTTGGCCCATTTGAAAATGTAGTGTACTTAGTAACATCTTTTAGAATTTATGATATAGTTTTTTGGTTTGATCTAGTTTGCTTTTTAGTTTGGTTTATGAGTTCACTTTTATTACTTAGGATTTAGTATTTCTAGTTTATATTTGACTTTAGTTTATTTATTTATTTATTATCAGAATGTTATCGTATTTTTTCTCAAATTACATCATCTGTTAAATTTTTCAAAAGAAAGTAGAATGTCAAACTAATAGTTTGAGTCTTTGAAATGGAAAATGAACAATTAATATATTGCAATTACAATGTTGAAAGTTTTACTTTGGTTCATATGAAATATATGCTTATTGGATTCATAACTTGTTTAGGTTGGTTTGGAATGATAAGGAATTATGAATATACTTTTAATAATAATAACGATAATAAATTATATTATTATATTATTATATTATTATATAGCTATGTAATATAATTAAGAAACTTTTATGAGGGTATAATCATGTTTTATTTTCTTCCCAAGTCAAGCGCAAAACAAAATACCACCGTTTTCCTCAGAATTTGTTTTCCTCAACTTTCACGAACTCTACTCCCAATGAAAAAAGTTTTCCATCCAACCAAACAACATAAAACAAAATTTTCCCCCACTTTAAGAAAAACATTTTCACTAGATCGAAAAATATTTTTCAGCGAACCAAACACTCACTTAGGGCCCATTTACTAACATGAAATTTGAATTGGAGAATAGAAAACAGAAAACATGTTTACTAGCACAATTTTTCATTTTGAAAATTGAAAATAATTTTACAGTTTTTTAGAAAACTGGAACACTCTTAAAAACTATTTTCTAAATGGAAAACATAATCATCTATCATTTATTTGGTTATATGTCACTATAACCACATTAGTATGATTACATTCATTATCATCTTCTTTTACTTATCCCCATTTTCTATCTTTTCTATTTTACTTATTTAAACGTAACTTATTTGATTACACTTTCATTATCAAAATTAAGAATTGAACTATATACAATATTTTAGATTTTGATTGAACTCAATAGATTATTAGTTCGGATATTTTTAGTTATGTTATATCGTAATACAAGTTCGGTCCGGATATCGGATATTGAAATCTCACATATATTAGAATTCAAAGTAAAAATTATATATTCAAATGAATATATCCAAAAAAATATTTTAAATATTAGCTCAAAAAATATTAATATTATCTAAACTAAATTTTATGTGAACTTAGTAGGTTATTGGTTCGGATAGATTTTTTTTTAGTTTTTTTTTTTTTATGTAAAAATCTTACATATATTAGACTTAAAAGTAAAATAAAATAAAATTTATTCCATTTAAACCAAACATATGTAAAAATATATTAAATATAAGATCTCTAAAAATCACTCGAAAATAAACTTGTGTTACTTTTATAACGTTAATCTAATTTTTATTTTTTTTAAAAAAAAAAATAGTTGTTAGTAAACAAGTTTTCTAAACAGAAAACAGATAATGAAAAACAGAGAATGAAAACTGAAAAATTAGAAAACATAAAACAGAGAACAATTTTCTGTTAGTAAACGGGCCCCTTAAGATTTTATAAACAAAAGTGTCGCTGGCTGCCATTTTGTGCATACAATTCTAAAAAGATTTGTATAGATCAAATTTATGGACTCTTAATTTTTACTCCCATATTTTTATTTTTTGATGTGGTAAGAAATGTTAAGTTCTTTTCATTTTGTGTATCTTAAGAGAAATGTTAATATCAAAATTTTGAATAAAAGAGTGAAAATAGGGAGTAAAATTTAAAAATCTATGTTGTATTTTCTTGAGAAATAATACCCAATTTGTCATGTGATATCTTGTTTTGACCGATATAAAATCAATTCAAAACTCTATGTACGAAGTTTGAAATTCAAACATTCTCTAATCAAATCAAATGTAAAAAATAAGAAAATGGTTGTCTGGCTAATTTTGAACAGTCATAGTACGTTTAAATATTTAAAATGGTTGTCTGTTGCGTACTTGCCTAGCATAGCGGATCCGTTGAAAAACAGGAATCCAGGCCATTTTTTTTTATATAAATTATTGTATTAGTACAAATATAAATTAAAAATAAAATAAAAATTTATTGACAAAATATAAGGCATAAAAATTCAACAAAGAAATACAATTCAAAATTAACTTAAAAGTGACATTCTTCGTGCATATTTAGATAGAAAATTATTCAACAAATTTTAATGTCAATTTTTTCTAAATTTTATTTTCGATTGCAATTAAAACCATAGAAACATATTTATCAAATATAAAAAATTATATATATATATATATATATATATATATATATATATATATATATATATATATATGGGATGAGATCTGATGCGAAGGAGGTTCCAGGTGAAATATGCGGTGATGAGATCTGAGCCGTTGATCAACGACTCAAACCAATGAAAATTAAAAAAAAAAAAAAACGCGCGTCTTGTAAGCTAGCAGAAGCAAAGTGTAAAAATGACGTACCTTAACAGGGCGTTTGGTTGGAGGGATTTTAAATTACCTTCCCACTTAATTCCCACTTAATTCCAAAGGCCATTAAATTCCGTAGTTTGGTTGGAGGGAATTGCAATTCCATGGAATTGCAATTCCCCCATTTTCATGGAATTAAAATCCCATGTCCCCCCTGGTATTTTAATTCCTGGGAAAAAAAGATAGTGATGAGTCAACATTACCCCTTCATTTTTTAACTTAAAATTAATGTCTAACAACAATAATGGACATTTTTGACTTTATACTACTTATTCCCTTTCAATTCCCATGTATACCAAACATTGGAATTGAAATTCCCAGTAATTCTATTCCTGTCAACCAAACACTGGAATTTAAATTTCCACTTTATTCCCAGTAATTCAACTCCCATGGAATTACAATTCCTTTCCCACATAATTCCCCCCTTCCAACCAAACGCCCTGTAAGTGTTAGACGCACCTTAATAAGTGTTAGAACAACGCACCTTTAGTGTTAAAATAGCACACCTTAATTAAGTGTTGTAAAGACGCACCTTAAGTAGTAAAATCACACACCTTAAGTGTTAAAATGACGTACCTTAAGTGTATAACTGACGCACCTTAAATGTTAAAATGTCGCACCTTAAGTGTTAAAAAGACGCACATTAAGCTTTGAAAAGACGCACCTTAAGCTTCAAAATGACGCACTTTAAGTTTCAACAAATAAAGCACCTTAAGTTATCAAGTGTAAAATTGACGCACTTTAAGTGTTAAAATGACGCACCTTAGGTATTAAAACGACATACCTTAAGCATAGAAAATACGCACCTTTAGTTTCAACCATGCGCAAAATGACCAAAATGCTATCGCGTTTTTTTAAACGTTGTTTAATTTGGATGGTTGATTTTGACAAGATAAACGGCTATCATCCACCCGCATGTTTCACCTGGACAAACACCCCCCCCCCCCCCCCCCCCCCCGCATTTGATCTCTCTCTCTCTCTCTCTCTCTATATATATATATATATATATATA